GGCGTGGGGGTGACGACGGACGAAAGGACAAGAGACAAGACAAGAAGACAAGAACGACCCCGCACCAGACAAGGGGAAACGAGGACTATTTAAACACACGAGGGAGGGGAACCCCAGGTGCACACAATTGGTAATCATGACATGACGAGACACCAGACGTGACAGTCGTCCTGTTCATTATGAAAGACAATTCACCAGGAACAGGTCGGATCTGCCGCCCCTGATTTTTTATCCTTTGAATCTCCTTCACAGCTTAGCTAAGAGATGCCACGCCTTAGCACTAATATGCTTTTTTCCCCGCATCAACATTTAGCTAAATGAACATCCTGTCAATGAGAACAACGAATAAATCTGCCATCTCTGTTTGTCCCTTCAACTTTATATATCTGCATCTATATGTATTTTCAGCAATGTTTTTGACTCCATGATCATGCAACAGAGAGCTCAGAATATTAAAATGATCGAAGAGTGTGCGCTGTGTGGTTATTTGTTTCTGGGATCTGGCGGTTGGCTCCTGAGTGAACCCTGCCTCTCCTCCAAAAGCAGGTGGAAAAGGCTTTATCACAGGAAATAGACTAATTAAAGAAATCCATCGAGAGCGCCCAGGAATCTTTTGTTCTTTAAAGGTTACCATTAGAAAGTCAGAGACACAGCAGAAGAAAAGAAAATTCTTGTCTGGAGGAACACAAAACAAATAAACATAAAAACACCTTTAAACACATTAATCAGATCAAAACCAGGTCTTTTTTGCACACCCAAAGAGTGGGGTTGGAGTTTAGGGGCCTTGAGTTGGAGCCGGTTTCTCTGAAGTTCTGGGCTCTCTTAAATCAACTTGACTGATCTGATCACCTGGTTACTTGAGGATGGTTGTTTAACTTAAACAAAATATGTCTATGTCTAAAAGTACGATTGTGTCAACCAAGGACGATTATACGATTATGTTTCTCTTTCTTTTTCATTTGAAAAGAACCCAGGTGACGTGAAGCTAATGTATTTCTTACAGTTGCATACTTTGTTCAAACCTGACTTTTTTCTCTCTCTTTGCTTTTTCTTTTCGAGCAGCCTGCCACGAATTCTGCCATTTGAAACAACTCTAGAAATCTTTAACACAATTTATGTTTGGCAAAGAAACAAATTGAGCGATGACCCCGAAGTTGCATAGGGTTTTAAAAAACTCCCTAACAGCTAGACCTTTAGGTCCTACACGGTCAGGGACCCATCGGGGCTGAGTATGGCCAACAGCAGGCTGCCGGGCAGTCATATGAGTGGACAGATAAACTATTTTCAATAAACAGGGCAACATGAGTTCATGAACGTTGCAAAATACACAGACCAAAACCAAGGTTTAGTCAGTTTGTAGTTGGCCTTGATGGTAATCTCATGCTTGTGTCCGGAATAGATGACGTCACACACGCTCCAAAAAGCTCCACCTAGGAGAAAACATCAAATGAAATTACCATGGCTGAACATACCAAAAATAGGATGTTGTAAGATTTTGCTGTATGTATGCAAATCATACAATTACAGCATACAGGAAATAAGCCATTACACAGTGTGATTGCATTAAACAATCAAACTAAATAGAACAAAATAGGTTTTCGTTACCTGCTCAGATCGGCTTGTCAACCTTTTCAGACCGTCACCAGTTTCACACACAAACACAAATACACAAACACACACACATTTAGAGTCTCATTGCCACTGCATAAACAACACTTTGAAAGTTATTTGGCCTAGATTGTATTAATTACTGGGAAGTTATAGCAAAATCCTGTTTTGTGCATCTCTTGGCGAATAGAGCTTATTTCTGGATTTCTACTGGAAAGTGTGACATCTTTTGACTGAAAGTGAATGCAAGTGTGATTTTGGTTGTGAAGTCATGTATTGTGATGTAGAACACTTCCAAAGTTATTTGAACAAGTTTTGAATCATTCCTTTGAAGTTACACAAAAATCCTGTTTGATGTATACGTCTTACATTTTTGGAATTTTGATAGTGTG